TGAAGAAAGGATGATGAAGGGAGAGACAGTTTTTGTTTTTTTTCTAAATTAGATTGCTGGTTATGAGAGTAGAGTGCACCCAGATTTTTACTTATTTCGGAGTTACAGTTTTGCATCAATACAATTGATTCCTTGTGTCCTTAAATTCAGGTTTAGTGGCAGAAGTAAAAGATATCAGTGAGAAAAAGCATCAAGAAGATCTGCTTCAAGCTATTTCTGTTAGAGTTATGCCCTCATTTACTCCGGATTTGGAGTTCAACTATTGTGATATACAAATTCACGAGGATCTCTATCTGCTAATCAAGTATTACTGTGAAGAAATATGTGCCACTGAACAATCAGATAAGGTGATGAAGCTGTGGATAACCTTTTTAGAGCCCATGTTTGGCATTCTTTCGAGGTCTCAAGGTAACCATGCTCTGGAAGATGTGTCAAAGTTGAAAAATAACCAAGAATTGCAAGATGCATGTGTGGCAGTGAAGGACACAGCTTCTGGGTCAAACCTTAAACATCCAATATCCCCAAAACTACTGAACAAAGATAATCCAACAATGCAAGGAAGTTCTCCTCGGAAAGATGTGTCAGGGAATATAATGAAAACTGCTCAGCCCGATAAGCTGCAGGATGATGCAGCTATGACTAATGAGGTAACTCCTTGTGTGGAGTTTTTTAAAACTCAGGTCGTATGCACTTCAGTTGTGATGAAATTAAATGAAAGGTTACCTTCCTTAGTTACCAAATTGAAAACTTGATGAGCAATCAGTAGAGACCAGTCGTGATTGTATCTATTTATGAGACTTTATAGAGATTACCCTAATTCTGGTTTATGGTCCACAGGTTATCCAGTCTTCCAAACTTGTGTCACCCAGAAATGATCAGATAATGGAGGATGAAGGGAATCATATGGTTAACGAAGCATCGGTGGAAAAGCATGAGGTTGAGCGAGAAGAAGGTGAATTATCTCCCACCCCCAGTCGTGAGCAAGACAACTTTGAGGTTAATGGACAGAATGGCTTCAAGCCTTTACAAAAGGTGACGGACAATGTAAGAAGCAATAAAGACCAGCAAAGTTGTGATATAAAGGGAGCATATCATACTGAAATCGGAGCAAAGAACGATACTCGCGGTGAAGATGACAAACAAGAAAATTGTCACAAGTTATCAGAGGATAATGAGACTGCCTCTGAAATGCTTGTTTCAGGAACCAAGTTTAGTTGTCATGAAGAGCACAACAGAGTTACGAACTGTAATGGGCGTGGTAGTTTTGCTGGAGAGATGGCTAGTGGAAATGAAGGTGAAGATGGATCCTTTGCATTTTCAGAACGGTTTCTGCAAACTGTAAAACCTGTTGCCAAGCATCTGTCCTGGCCATTGCAAGCTAGTGAAACTTGCTCCCAAAATGATTCTCAAGTTTTTTACGGGAATGATTCCTATTATGTGCTATTTAGGCTTCATCAAGTAAGGACTGTTTGAAACAAGCTTCTTGAGTCTTTAATATGATGGTTTTCCAGTCCCGTGCTAATTTCTATGTACTTCTGTTGATTTCCAGATGTTGTACGAGAGGATACAAACAGCAAAGAAACATTCAGAAAAGAAGTGGAAGGCTCCAGATAACACAACTCCTGATTCTTATCCCAGGTGATTTATCTTCCAAGTTAATAGCTTTGTATTGGAAAACGATTCCGTACTGATTTTCAAAGCATAACACGTTTAGGTTCATGGATGCACTCTATAGTTTACTTGACGGTTCTATTGACAATACAAAGTTTGAAGATGAGTGCCGAGCTATTTTTGGAGCACAGTCGTATGTTCTTTTCACATTGGACAAGCTAGTTCAGAAGTTTGTTAAGCATGTGAGCAAAACTAGTGTCTTGTCTTCTTGACTCTCTACCTCCATTCTCTCACTTTTATTTCTCTCTTTCATCTGATTATTGGGATGGTTTTTGGATATGCTTCAGCTCCATGCGGTTGCATCTGATGAAACAGACACCAAGCTTCTGCAACTACATGCGTATGAGAACTACAGAAAACCAGGAAAATTCTTTGATCTTGTGTATCATGAGAATGCATGTGCCCTCCTCCATGAGGCAAACATATACCGGATCAGATATGTAGGTTTCTCTTAGCTACGCATATTTGTCCATTCAAATTCCATAATTTATTAATACTATGGAAGTGATTGCAGTCATCAGCAGAAACACGTCTCTCGATTCAGCTTATGAACAGCGGGAACAATCAGCCTGAAGTAATGGGTGTAGCGATGGAGCCGGGTTTTGCAGATTATCTACAAAATAAATTTCTGAAATCTGTCAATGATGAAGAGAATCACGGACTGTTTCTGAGAAGGTGAGTGAAGCATGATAAGAGCATATGGTATTTATGATATAAATATTCTTTTGGTTGTGAAGTAATGTTTAACTAAACTCTCTGCAGGAACAAGAAGAAATTCACCAGCTTAGATGAATCTTGGGGGATGCCCGTTGCGATGGAAGGATTGCATATTATCAACGAGATGGAATGTAATATTGCTTGCAGTTCTTCAAAGGTATAACATATAATGAAATTCTCTGTAGAAGACTTGCAGTCTGAAATGTATGTTTGTGGATGACTGAAACTTACTTTGCCAATGATTCAACTGCTGTAGGTGAAGTATGTAGCAAATACATCAGATGTTTTGTATAGGAGCAAACAGGGGAAACCGAATTTAAAGGAACCGAGGCTTAAAAGAGTCGGTGAAATCTTGAAACAGAGAAGGATATCGCGGTTTCACATAATGCTGAATTGCAGACTTTGTGCCTTGCCGCCTCTATAAACTGGTACCTGCTCCAATTCTTCCATTAAAAGTTCTCTCTTACATCACACAAAGGCTGTGAGAACTTCCTCGATGTAACGGTTCTTCATTTGTGATACTTAATCTTTGTTTCAGGTGTTAGTGTCGAGGTTCTTAATGGTAAAGGCTCGTTGGCTCTTAGAGATTATGCAAAGCTTTTTGTGGTCGAGAAGTTTACTCGTTTTTAACGTGACATGGACTGGGATCATATGGCTCATGGTTCACTACGCGGCTACTCCACATTTTTTGTTTGTTTTTCTTTTTTGCGTTTTGCGTTCGGAGTCTTCGGTTTTGGTATATAGTTGTAGACTTGTAGTAGAATATATGATACGAAAGTTGCCAAAATCGAAAGACTTGTTCATCTATATTATTAATTGGGAATCACTAAATATTAAATAACCTTATGAAGAGTAAAATATTACAAAAAATGCCATTGGTTTTTAGTATTTTTAAATAACTGGTACAATAGTAATCACAAAATTAATATATTTAAATAAAAAATTGTTTAATTCTTTTAAATAATTATTAATTTCCAAAAAAATAAATTAATTTTCTCTCTCTTATTAATTATAAACGAAAATTTGAAAGTAATTTTTAAAAAATTGTTAACCAATAGGAATTGAAAAACTAAGATTTGATATCCAACTAAGATTTTAATTCAAAAATAAAACAAAATTTAATAGACTATTCTATATCAAAAATAAAAAGAAAAATAATATCATTTTAATTCAAAATTAAAAACACTATCGTTTAAAAGATTTATCAATGGAGGACTTTAAGATTAAATTTAAAATTTCGTAAGAAAACTAAATACAAATATTTTAAGATTCAGTTTTGTTATAATATTTTCACAAATTTTAAAATATAAAACAAAATTTTATTTCACAATTTCTAAAATACGATATTAGGTATTAACAACTCTTTATATTTATGATGAAATAAACTCAAATAATAATAAATTTAAAGTAATTATCATTATAGCCTTTGTTTAAAGCAAGTTTGATAAATATCTAACAATAGATTGTATATATTAATTTCTAAATTATTTTGCGTTTTATTTTTTGTTTTTCAACCGGATCTTTCTTAAATAAATTCCTAATATATTGCACACAGTTTTCAAATAATGTAAACTAATTATATATTTTGAATTCAAAACAAATTATGCAGCAATAGCATATCCCTTTTAGAGATGTATCTCAAATTTTTATTTTTAGTCCAAAAATCAAATTAATTATGATTAAACAATAAAAAGAAGAATATGCAAAATTTAGCTAAGGAAAGAAACATTAATTAATTTGTTAAAATATATTTGTAACTTTAGCAGCATATATATTAATTTGCAAAACTCACAGTATGTATTGTATGGTATTTAAAAGTACGCAAACAAGAATTTGGAACATGATTTTAATGGAATGAAATGAGAATAGGAATTACGAGACGGGATGAGAGGGGAACATAAATTAAAAATCAAACTAAATACCCAATTGGTATGAGTTCAGGTTATGAGCACTATATAAAATAAATTTGTTTACATACATAACCATGTACGTACGTTTTCAGTTACACATATTTTATTTATGCCGGATACTGGACTGTCATATTTTTATTTCACGTATACAAAATGGGTTATGGGACCAAGAATTTATGACAAATATAGGACGGGATATGTTTTCTGTTCTAAAATAGTTACGTCTAGCTAATATACATGAAATAACCAAACTCAAACCGAATCTATATCCTATTTAACACATGTAATCAAAATATTATAAATGTTTTGATTAGTTTAGAAAATAAAAAAAGTAACATCATTTAACTTTTGCAACTAAATTATATCTTAGTTTTATCTTAAATATAATTTCGCACGTACGTGTAGGTCCAGATCTTAAAATATAACTATGCACTAACGCAACTGAATTTCGTTTATTACTCTAATTTTATAATATTTGTACTATTATAAAGTTCACTAACACAACAAATTATTTTATATTTTTAAAATCTATATAACAATTTCTATACAAATATCTCTATACGTACGTGTGAATCCAAATCTAATACACTAAAATATATATCATAAAAACAACGAAATAATCTATATTGAATTAAAAATTGTTAAAACTTTTTTAAAAATATGAAACCCCGCACGTATGTGCGGGTCATGATCTAGTTTCCTTTAAAAAAGGTGTCCTCACAATAGACTTTAAGGACAAAGTTGTACACTCTAAAATTAATATTTTAATAATTACCACCCATCATGCCTTAAAAAAAACATTACTAACAAAAAACATTTTATTTTATAAATTAATATTACAACAAATTCAAGTTATTAATAATATAGGACACGCGTAGACCAAGCAAGACCTAGTAAGCCTATATATGTAGAGCCATACCCTTTTTCAAACCAAAACACTACAAAGTACAAACTATTTTAAAAAAAATGGCAAAGAATAACGATATCAATCTGGATTTGAGTCTAAGCCAATATGTAGAAGATGATCCTTGGGTTCTAACGAAGAAGCTAAGTGACTCTGATCTTTGCTACAGGGCTCAGCTCTATTTACCAAAACAAGAGATGGAACAATTTATACTTCCGGAGATGGAAAATGATCTTGTCCGGAAATTGGGAGCTGGCGTTGAGATCAAACTCAGAGATATTGACAATGTTAGCGACGATTCTTACACCGTAAGACTTAAAGTACGCAACGGCCAGTATTATCTCGAAAAAGGATGGCGCCTCATAAAAAATGATAAGTGTTTAAAAACAGGAGATCATATTGGACTCTTTTGGGATAAGTTGACAGGAGAATTCAAGTTCAAGCATTCCGAATCACAATCCATCGTGAAGCGGGTACTAATTCGACACAGAAGAACAAATTAAAGGAGAAATAAATACACACAAGTATAACACAAACCATCACAAATGTAAGAGAAATGTGTATAAGTAATCTTAAAGTATATATATTGGGGAAGCGGTCGTGTTATCCACTTATCCTCGTAAAAACAGCACAATGATAGAAAACAATTATGCTTCTCTTTATGAGTTAATCTATGAATAGAAACCGAGCAAATGAAAGAACGTAATAAGTAAATTAAAAGAAACATGTACATGTGAAAAAAAGTTTTTTTTTTTTTTAACGTATGAATTATGATCAGAATCTAGAGCATGCGATAAGAAGTTATTTTAATAAATATGGAGGAGAACGATGCTATATATTTACAAGACTAATTTAGTGCTCTTTACATATTTCCATGGATCATATATAATATAAATATTTCACATTCCAAAAACGTTCATAGTTAACAATAGAATATAGCTAAAGAATTGCATGCAGAAAAACTCAATTCGGGAGTTTAATTATATCCATTTTTAGTGAAATTGTATAGTTTTAAGTTAGTCTTACACATTTATATAGTTATAGGTTGATCATATAGTTACATATAGTTTTACTGGTTTTAGCATTTTAGCGTTGAAGACTTTTGCGGATCCTAGCAACATCCTGGCCGTTGATATCAAAAGCGCTCTTCAAAACCTCTTGCAGAAACGGAGGCTTTGGAATGAAAGACGACAAAGACACAATCTGAGTCCCAGGATTCTGACTATTCAGCCCAGAGACTGCCAAAGCTGAGCTCACCGTATCAATATTATATAGAAAATGAATCAACCCTTTGGGAAACACGAATGTCTCACCCGGATGAAGCTCCTGGGTAAAGACCCGACCGGACGTATCCACGAACCCGACGAGAAGGACACCGTCTAGGCAGACGGTTACTTCCGAGGCGCGTGGGTGCACGTGCGGTGGGACAACACCAGAGCCTCCGAAGTCAAGCCTGGCCATTGTGAGGCCCATTGTGTTGAGACCTGGGAGGTTAGCGGTTGTGGTGACAGTGACGTTGGTCATTAACGGTTTGGTCTGAGTGTTTCCGGGTCTGGACAATGCGGAGGTTGTAAAGTCGGAGACGGTGGCTTCTGTCGGATCTTTGCAAAGTACGCCGTTGAGGAAGATTTGTTGGTGTGATGAATGACAAGGAGAAACACAGTAGTCTTGGAGTGGGTCCGGGTCGGATTTAACCCGACCCATCAGAAGTGTGAACGTTAATAGTAAGTTTAGAAGCATAGAGAGAGAAAGAAGCAAAACTGAGTTAGAGTTTGTAAGTAATGAACTTTTGAGTAACTGATGTCTAAAAAGATGCACTAATTTATTATATCTTCTGTAATTGTTTTCACCTTTCTATATATATATGTGTGTGTGATATTTGTTTATTGTTTAAATTCAAAGTATGGATATTCATTCTTTTGTTTGTGTTAGAGAAGCAAGACAAGTTTTTATCATGTAAACCAAAAGAATAAGTTTCATTGTGGTGCTGCAGAATTTTAGTTTAAGCAAAAGTCTTTAGTAAGATTTTGTTAGCCGTTAAGCAAAGAAAAACAAACTTTCCTTCATGCAATGACTTTTATTGTGCTATGTTTATTTCTATATATTCAATATCATGAGTTCGCATATCGACAACAAGAAAAAATAAAATAAAATAAAAACTAATTTTATTTGATGTTTCCGCTATATACGAAGAAGATAATGGACACTAGATTCAAACTTTTCAAATTGATATAGAAAAAAAAAAAAAGAATAAACAGCAAACTAGCCGTGGACAAGAGTAATCTACATGTCAAGACTCAAGAGTAAAGCAAAAAAAAAACGTGGAAAGACACATGCAACAGCGATCGGGACACTACAGTACTCAAAGATGACAAAAGAAAAAGAAAAAGAAAAAAATAAAGATGTGGTAGAGAGATTTATTCCCCCACATGAAGGGACAAAACGCAAACCAAGGAAAATTTTGTTAATTTATTGCAAATTTTAAATACGCCAAACGTGAGGAGTATCGTTTGGGGATGATTTTGTTGTCGACAATAATTAATGATTTTGTTGGTTACATACATTGCATCTACAAATTTTTAAAATTGATATCGGTCCTTCCAATGTGGTTGGCTCTGTCATTAACAGAGCATGAGATTATTATATACTCTTTATTTGTATCTTTCGTTACCTTTATTCTTAGATAATCCAGTTAACATCGTAAACATCTGATTTGTTTACTAAAAATGAGTGAGAATATCAATTGGGTCAAGTCCTTACATCGGTCTTGTCGATGATAAGTTTTGGTGATAGTTTGTAACCACCCGCCTATAACCTCTAGGACCAATCAAATTTAGATCCGAAACACACACGTTAAGCAATGTACAAAAAAAAAAGCTGACTCAAGCTTAATTTTCTTGGTCATGGTTTCTAATGTGAAGATCTTACTTGGATCCAATCATCCAAATGGTAAAAACACATGACAATTAAAAAAGAAACACCAGAAATGGGTGCCAGAGACAACGGATCTATAGAGACTATTTAAGGAGATATATGCCCCAAAGAAAGGGAACAAGAGTTGCCCATTTCCAGCTTTGCATTTACTCTTTCTTCATCTTCCTTCTTTGTTCTTTTTTATTTTCTTGCTTACTCTCTACACATCTACACATGCATAATGATGCATCCACTTCGTCGTATATTATAAGCATTTTCGGTTCAATATGTATATTCAAAGTTGCATTAGACCATCGGCTTATAAAATTGTTACTAGTTGTTTTGTATTTGGAAGCAAAAACCTTTTTTTGGAATAAGTAAGAAGTTTTGGGTCTAGACCAGTCAGAGTAAGAGATTTTTTATTTTTATAAACTCCATATTCCAATAACAATTTTACCTAGGACCAAGAGTCATGGTTGCCTTAAAACGCATATTCAATTGCAATTTTGAATAAATGGTGAATGTTGAAGGTTCGATTGCAATTTTCCCTTAATTAAGACTAGAAAAAGGTCAAAATCATAACTTTGTGCAGAAATTAAAATAATTATAAGATATTCGAAAAGCTTTAAGGAAAAGGAAAAAGGCCCACGTGGAGGCGCGAGAGATTAAGGACATCTATAAAATTGACGGCGTCAAGTCAACGTGCAATTAAAAACACCGTCAAAGGTAAAAAAAGTTAACGGAGATAGATATTACACGGCATCCCAGAATAGTTCCACTAATCTAATCCGGGACTCCTCATCTTCTGCCGTCGAATCGGCGAATCCTCCGGCGACGATTCCGGCGACGTCGTCAAAACATCGTCATCGTCTATTGGAGTTGAAAGTGGCGAGGTGGAAAACATCTCCACTGGAGATAACTGCGGAGAAGAGTCCGACGATTCAGTCGAAATAGTCAACGGCGGCGACGATTCAGGCGAGATAGTCAACGGAGGTGACGGCGGAGGAAGCGAAGAGTTAACGGAATCAGAATCATCCGGAAGCTTCCGTTTGTTTCCGTTGGAAAGTTTAACGTCTTTAGTTAAGTGATTTCTCAGACGTTTAACGTCGGCGAGTTTCACCGGTTTCAATAAGAAATCTTGAGCACCTTCCTCAAGGCATCTGTTCAAAATTATATTTTTCTCAAATTTATCAATCAACAGTTTTTCTAAAGAATTCCAAAATCTGTGAAAATATCAATCACCTATCGATTCTGGTCAATACGTTCTCCGATGACATGATTACAACCGGAACTTCTCTGAAATTTGACGATTCCTGGTTCAGGTCACCGGAAAATTCCACATTGTGATTAAAAAAAATCTATTAAAAAATCGTAATCTGAATCTATGAAATGGCGGGAAAATGAAGACCTTAATCTTCTTGAGAAGCTCATAACCAGTCATTCCAGGCATACAGTAATCAGTGATGATCAAATCAACTTTCAATCTCTGAAATATTTCATTAAAAATTTAAAATCACGATTCATAATCCTCAAAATAGAAAAATGACTATCAGATTTCAAGACTTACATCGAATTCAGCAGAAGCTTTCTCATTATCTAACCCTAGAAATTCCAGAGCACGCCATCCACTATCTACCGCCGTAACTGAAATAAGATACCACCGGAGATATAAAGATTCCGGCGAGGATTAAGTGAAAGATAGTTTTCTTTTTTTTTTTGTAAAATGACGAACCTTTGCAGGAAGTAATACGAAGCAATCTCTCGATAACAATCCGATCAACGAGGCTGTCGTCGACGGCCAAGACATGAACTTCATCTAAATCCAACGGCGCAGATTCAATTCCTCCGACGTTCATCATCTCCGACATCCGTAAACAAGAAACACCACCGTCTCTGGCCATAGACGAGTTTGTAGTAAGTGTAAGGAGAGGATGAGAATAAAAGAGAGAAGAAGAAGAAGAAGAAGAGCTCACATCTGTTTCTTTTGTTCCTTTCTCTTCCTTAAGACAGTTTTTTATATTTCTGATTTTTTTCTCTAAAAAAAACAAATCAATCTTTTATCAGTGTGTCTTTTTGGTTTTTTCAATTTTTATTTTTAAATCTCCAGCGAGGAAAATCCAACAAAATCTTTGGTTCCTATTTATGTGAAAATTATGTTTTTATATTTTCTTTTGTGCCGTGCTTTTAGGGTTGAAAAATTGAACTTTTATCTTTGAAAAAAATAGTATTAATAAAAATAGAGATTTTCTGAAAATCTGGTGGGGGCCTATGTGAATATCATAGAGAAAAATATTCCTACAATCGAATAAATAATAGAGGAGAAGGAAAGAAATCCGTACAAAGGAATCGAAAAAACAAAAAAATACCATCGTGAGAGATATACTATTAGTCAGAATCTCGTCATTAGTGTGAGTGAAAAACTGAAAATGGAATCACACTCACTGTTAAAAATAATAAACCAGAAGATGAATTTGGTCACACGCAATTACAATTCACAGTAGCGTGTTTAAACTAAACCGGTTCACAAATAGGCGTTCGGATTGGTCTTATTTGTTGGTCTATCATATTAAGACAATTTTCATTGTTCCATGTGATTGGTCAGTTTCTAATTTAAAAATTACTATAATACAAATGCAATTCATAGAACAATATTAAAGATCGGTTATTGTGAGAAAATTAATGTATGCCTAACTAGTAAGTATATCCATATGACTCTAGAAAATATATCGTTTTCAAATGAAAAAAAAAAACAAAAAAAAACAAGAGGAAAGTGGACAAATAATAATTAGAAAAAGGATACTCACCAAAAACAAAAATTAAAAAAAGGATTGACGTCCACAATAAAATTTGGATCCGCGGGACCCAGGGAAATCTAAAAGGGGGACCCATAAATATTTTGTTGGGAACAATTTGTATTAATGAAAGGGGGAATTGGACTTTTCCTCTTTCGTTTTTTTTCTTACAAACATAATTTGCTGTTCACTCTTTTAGACACCACACCGTATCAATCTTGCAGATTGCTTTTGCTTTGTCTTTCCGACCGATTAATATAGTCTATCCGTTTCAAAATATAAGGCGTTTTAGCTAAAAGCACGCCGATTAATATGATATACTTTTTAAAAGTTCAGCCAATCATAAAAGAGACTGCATAATAAAAATAATCATAAAATATTAAAGTAATATATAATTTGCATAAAAACTTGAAAACGACTTATATTTTGAAACAAAACAGTTTCTCCAAAACGTCTTATATTTTGAAACGGAAGGAGTATTTTTTTAAATTTATTTTGTTTATAAGGATAAATGTATTAACATAAATATCTATTGAATCAACTTGACTAATGAAAATGTAATATTTTAAGAAGTTTTTCTTTTCTCTTGTTAATAAATTGATATTATTAAAAAATTAATTATAGTCAAAGTTTTATGGTAAAAACATATTAGGAGTCAAAAACTTTCTTTATCCAGTAAAAAATATGTTCAGACATATGAGAACAAGAAATATATATATGCATTGATTCTATGGCTCTTAAAGACGACCAAATCCTATGACAAAAAAAAAAAAAAAAAAAAAACGACCAAATCCAATACTATGACATTTTCCCAGTTCAAGTTAATGCTCAAAAGATCAGATTTCAAGGTTGCTTAGAACTTATCGATCACAGTCGTGGATGATTAGAGTAGAGAGTTCTTTGACAAGAAAAAAATGATCAGAGTAGTGTTTTATCAAACTAAAACTTGTTTTTCTAATTAATAGCCCACTAACTTATTTTATTTTCTCCAAATCATTTCTCTACATTAACCAAAAACATCTAACAAAGTAGAAAGAAAAATGACCCGTGAAATTAAAAAATATCTGACAATGGATATATCCATTTTTATAATTACGCGAAATTTAAGATTGATTTACGAATTGATTTTTCAAACGATATGGGCCAACGAATGATGGATCAAATCTTCATGATGTCAACTCGAAATCAAGGGTTGAACAAAAAAATCCATAATAGTAAGCAATGATCGACGTGTCGCACATAATTTTTTTTTCTAGGTACTTTGAACATCAATTAGAAAATTTAAGACATTGACATTTCCCCTTTAATTGATTTTATTTTGGCACTTGATTGAGGTTTGGAGCATCTTTTTATTCTCATCATTAGTGTAAGTATTTTCTAAGTTTTTTTAAACCCACCTATACTAAAAATTAAAACAACGCATAGTCAAAAACATATAAAATGTATTTCTAGCAATTGATTAGTTGACCTAATTAAACAATATTCAAAATCATGTACAATATATATTTTTATTTTGACGTTAGATTTTGTTCTATGCTCATATAGAAACCCAATTTTAGTAGTTATACAGGGAAGTAGAGTTGAATCTCAAATACCGAATATCCAGATTAATGTAACATAAGCTCAGGCTCAGCTCAATATAAGATGAAGCCACGTTGATCTCGATGAAAACAAAATTACTCGTTTTGTCTTTTTCTTTTTTTAAAAGTAAATTGTGGGCTTTTCACACCACACCATATTGCAAAGTTCTTATTTATTTTTTCCTACCAAAAAAAAGTTCTTATTTATTTTTTATTTTTTCTGAATAGAGTTAATTACTACTATTTGCGAAGTTTATACTTCTATATCTGTCGATGAGTTATGCTTATTATGACACACACTCATGGAAGACATGTTTAAAAAAATAATCATAAGTTTAGATTTTCGATATGATAATCCTAATATATATCTGCAGGAAATCAACTAACATATATATCTTAATTCTCAAACATGCATGGGCTAGCTTTAATGTTCTAATATGATCGATCATTGCTTAGGTAGACCGACTAACAATTGGACTACCAGATTTTCTTATTTGTGCCAATCCGGTAACAACCTCATTGTATTGAGATATAAAACCTAGACTTCTGCTAATAACAACTCATCATCATTCGTACCCGTCTCAACCATAAGATAAAGCGGGTACAAAGAAAGCATATATTTCCAAATTCTCTAGACAAATAGAAGAGCACAAGACAAATAGATTAAAAATTATAATGTAAACCATTTCGTTTTTTTTTTTTTGGTTCTGTCTCTCTCGTTGTTGTAATTTTTGTCGCCTGGACAAAAAAACCGCTAACCAAATAACCGATCGAACCGAACCGAAAAAACCGAACTATATCCGAACCAAAGTTTTTAAAATAACCGAATAGTTAGTAAAATCTCATATCCAAACTAACCAAAACCAAACTGAACCGAACCGATAACCAAACGGTTAACCGAAATATCCAAAAACATATAAGATATCCAAAAATAATATCTAAAATTATAATTATAAACTCAAAATATTAATTATTTTGAATCAAAAGTCAAAACAATCAAATACTTTAAGTAATCAAAATATCCAAATATTTTTTGTTATATTTGTCAAATTTAAATACTCTTTTAAAAAATTGAATCAAATTTTAATTTTCTTTCTAATATTTTTCTTTTTTTATATATTTTTTTTATTTGTTCAGTTAGTTTTGGTTAGTTTCGGTAAATCTCGGTTATTTTGAGTAAAAACCCGAACCAAACCTAGCGTAATAAAAGTTTAGTTAGTTACGGTTATCTATTTAAATATTCAAACCGAACCGAACCGGACCGAAATTCCTAAAATATCCTAATGGTTATTATATTACCATATTCAAACTAACCGAAACTGAACGTAACCGAACCGAAACCGAATGGTTAACCGAACGCCCCGCGGCTAACATTCTGGAGTCATATATTAAAATTATTAAAAATGTTAAAGTCTAAATAATCTGAAAAAGTTCGCACAATCGTAGTAGTTAGTAAAGTCTTTTATATTTTATGCCAAAAACAGGAGATTTAAGTGAAGGCCTAATGGTATCTGTGCCCGATCCATATCAATACTCACTAGGGTTGGACAGTTAAACCCAACCAAAGCCCACTCACGTTTCAATCAATATGGATATCGATTTCACTTGTCACTTTTGAAAATACACACTAAACAAAAATGAATATAGTTTTAACCAAACAAAATAGAAAATAAACTAAGCCGAGCCGAGTTCAAATCGTACTATTTCGGTATTACTTACCAACTTGGCTGTCAATTGTCATACTAAATCTGCCGAAAGTACAGAATCGGACCATAATCGAAACTAAATTTCATATCCCTAAGAGCATCATTAACGGTAGCCTCTTAGTGTAAATCTTAGGAAAAAAACAATTAAAATTTAATCATTAATCAAGTAAATTCATAAAAAACGTTGAAACGTTCCTTAGTTAAGAGGTTTTTTCTTATCTTAAGAGACGACACGTGTCGCGTTTTGAACAAAAAGAAAGAAAAAAAAAAAGTCTCGTGTTTTTCCTCTCTCTCTCTTTCTCAAAAATAAAGACAGATTCTTCTTCTCGATCTCTCCGACATTACTCGATCCGTCGAATTAAGACGAGAAATGAGTCGTAAGTTCTTCTTTGACGTCGTTATCATCATCTCCTCCGACGCCGGGCACCATCGGCGATTTCGGTTCATCAAATCGGAACCACTTTGGTTCACCAAATCGGAGATTCAAGTGGCCAAATCAGAGAGTTTGGTTCCGATTTTCTCCAATCTCATTCTCCATGGTAAGAATCTCTCTGATTTTATTCACAAATCGTGATGAATTAGGGTTTTGTGTTAGCAAAATTAGGGTTCAACGATTTGGGAATTGATGTTAGAAAATTAGGATTCCATGATTTGGGAATTGATGTTAGCTAAATTAGGGTTCTCTGATGTTAGCAGTTTGTGCATTACATTGTAAGTAGAAATATGTTGAATCAAAAAATTCAATAAAATCATTTCTTTTGAGTTCAATAAAATCATTTCTTTGCACTCAATCATCACCTCTGCATCAGGTCCCTCACTTACTCTCCTCTCTCTATGTTTGAGTTTTGATTATAGGATTGGGCTCTGTTAATGGGGAATTTCATCGTAGGTGTGCACATTGGTCGTTGGTATTGGTCAATTTCATTTGGTGTTGTGTGTTTTAACGCTTGCGTTTGTTCATTTCTTAATGTAGTCTTAATTCCGATGGTATTAGTCTTATGATTGCTCAATGACTCAACTGTTCTTTCTTAATGATACAGCTGTTCATTGAATTTGCTTTGAGTTAATGGCTTACAAGGATGAAGCTCCTAAGCCTCAATTGAGTATGGAAGAGGCTGGAAGAAGAGCAAGGAGCAAGCTTTCGCGTGGTGAAGCTGAAGGAAGTGGTGTGAGAGGAAGAGGAGGGAGAGGGGGAGGAAGAGGAGCAATTAGTTTTGTAATCATATGGAAAATTAGCTAAATTAGTCTCAATTAATGAATTGGATACTGAATCTTGTATCATATTCAAATTTGTTTGATCTAGCTGTTATAAGTGACGATCTTTTATGAGATATAGCTTTAGGAGATTTCATTATAATTGAAAAATAAACACACTTATTAATAAAATGTATATCAATTGCAACTCTTCT